ACATTTTTAATGTCAGTAGATATAGATTTACAACACCACTTTGAATGGCTTCATAATACTCTACTGACTGAATATACCATATTATTATTATTATTATTATTATTGTTATTTTTAAATATACAGAGACAGAGCCTCACCATGTTGCCTAGGCTGGTCTTGAGCTCCTAGGCTCAAGTGATCCTCCCACCTTGGCCTCCCAAAGTGCTGGTGTGAGCCACCACACCCAGACTATTCTTGATTTTAACGCAAGGCAAAACTACAATTAGCTCTACACATCTTTTGTGGTCATTTCTTTTCTTTTAATATTATGGCATACAAGGTCATTTCTAATCGAACCCTGTTGCCTGCTTTAACTCTAAAATTTAGCCCCCAAATCATTAGTGGTCCTCTCTCACTAGGTTCAATCACGACCACCTCTAAGCCAATCATCCGTGGATTTTTACTGCCCCAGATCCCTCCCCTGAGCTCTCACAAGTACTGGAAATTCAGTGGTCCCACACTGAGGTCAACCTAGACAACTCCAGACATCAAACTCTCTTCTCCCCTTTATTCATGATTTGGGCAAGCCATCCATCCATGTAACATCTTTAACTTTTCCAATTTTATCTAATATATGATAAATGTATAATTCCTGATGCATAGAAAATATACCTACTAAAGTTCATCAGTAAGTGACTTAAATTATTTGGGATTGCTGCTTCTACTTAAGGCAACTAGGTACCTCCCCTTCCATAAATTATGCATTTGGAAAATAGGGCTAGCAAGTGCTAGACATAAATAATTAAAACTAAGCTTTCCTAAATGATGAATTCCACTGCTGTATCACTGCAGATGGCTGCCCTTTGTCTTTTTAAGTTTTGATGGGTGACTTTCAGGAGTTCCTCAGTGATTGCTTTGATTTGGGCTGCATTATTACTCTCAAAGCATGTTTTTCTGCTTGTTTAATTCAATAGTTGCCTCACTTTGTGGTGAGTGATTTTATCCATATTGTTTTGTTTAATAGATGTTTCTAGATTAAAGCTTCTTGTGCAGAAAGTTTTAAAAAATCAATGTTTGGTTCAGTTTTTGCTAGAATTTTCTTCTCTGTCTTCCTTCCTATGGCTTCTCCATAGGCTCAAAGTGCTGAATCTCCTTTTTTTTTTTTTTTCAGTTTGCTATAAATCTTTTTTTCCTTTTTTCTTTTCTTTTCTTTTTTTTTTTTTTTTTCCTTAGGGTCTCACTCTGTCACCCAGGCTGGAATGCAGTGGCAATCATAGCTCGCTGCAACCTTGAACTCCTGAACTCAAG